CCGCAAATATCACTTTTTACCTCATAATTATGTTAATTATAATACAATCCCTTCAAAAATCGGCAGATCTAAAGCCATTATGCCGATTTTCATAATGATTGGACCTCATTTGACCCCAGTTCCATTCAAAGTTTAATTTCAGAAAAACACTTAAACTCCCGTAACTCACTTCTAACCACTAGTATTATAATAAAACAAAAAAGATACACCTACAGAATTCGCAGATTTACGTAAATATTTACATGTACTTTAAAATCTCTTCCGTTTTTTGTCGCGTATGATATCGCCATATTTTAATCCATATTTTGGAAAACATAATAAGACAACATAAGACTTTTTAAATCAGAATACTGACAAGGAATGATTGGGCCGCGAACACTGTCCTAAGGGACGATATGATCTCAGTCTACACTGATGGTTCAAAGACAAAAAGAGGTACAAGCTCGGGAATTTTCTCAGAGGAACTGGACCTTCTGCTGTCTCTTCGAATACCTGATACCTGCGCGATCTTCCAAGCAGATATATATGCCGATACAGCCACGAGTGGTCGACTATAAATATCTACTTGGACAGCCTTGCATTAATCAAGACTCTTAACTCCAATATTATCAGGTCCAAATGTCTTCTCAACTATATCCGATCATTAGCAGTACTCACACAACATCACATCGAGTTGATATGTGTCCCAGGACATGAGGGCATTCGGGGAAATGAAATATCTGATAATGGGCAACTAAAGGTCCATAGACAAATGGGCTTTGGGTGAAACGGAACTCAGGTGGTCGAATATCACCAACTGCAGAATATCGAGATTGCTCTGGACCACTCTGACAGAGGTTGGAAATAGGACTCTTTTGTCTTTTAATAAAAATTCGACCTGGCTTCTCACGGGTATAATTACTGGGCACTGTATGATAGGACATATGTCGGAGCGTATCGGTTACCTTCGTTATAGCTATTATAGAAGTTGTTTAGATGAGGAAGAGGTGGAATCGGTAAAACACCTTCTATGTGATTGTCTATCCTTACAAGAGCGAAGACTAATACATCTTGGTAGTACTCTTTTTCATGATCTGAACTGCCTAAGGGAAGTGAATCTGGTAAATATGGTTAGTTTTATCAGAAGTAATGGTTGTTTCTCACGAGGACAACAGGAATCACATAGTTAACGAAACTAGGGAGATTAACCATTTCCCTTTATGTGTGAAACATCAGCTATTAAGGTACCACAATGAGCCAAAAGGCCTACGAGTGAACTCGCTATGCGAGCAACCCACACAACCTACCTACCTTGGAAAACAAGATTCCGAATGGGATGATTACATTTGCAAATAAAGTATTCTCTGAATGGAACATAATGACAAAATTGTTTTCCAAGTACTCCTATTTTTACAAAATCTATACCACTCTGAAGGCGTACGAACGTCACATACAATCGTATGGAATTGCTCATATATGGGTGTCACATTGTGGGAGATTATTTGGTTGTAGAAGGAACCATCATTATATCAGATATATTATTTCTGTCAGCAAATATGATTCAAAGGGAATTTAAACTTTGATTAGGAATTTAAGATTTAGTTCATAAAGCGGCTTTAATCTTTCTAATCTAATTTTACTTTTACTATGGGAGAAATGAGAAGTGCAGCCCGAACAATTTATAAATAAAATCTAATTTTCTTCAGTCATATATTAAAAATTTATAAATATTCTAAAAATTAGCATTATAATTTAAATATCGAAAAAAAAAACGGAAAACACAAATCTAAAAACTTTATATTTAAGGACATAAACTCCTCTGCTTGAAAATGACTCCCTAACAACCTATTACGGTAATTGTACACGTGTAATTGCCCGCAAGATTTTCTTTCTATATATTTAGGGCAATTACAAGATTTTTTTATTAGTATTATTATTTTGTTATTACACATAATTGATGTACTCTTACTCTAACAGAGCCATCAAGTGATTTTGTACTTCTTATTTGTCCTTTTTTTTTTTAAAGCCACATTGAGAGATGTTCTTTTTTTCCCTTAACATTTCTATTTCAATTGAATTTGTATTAAAAAAAAAACATTGCTGGAAATTATTTTAAATATAAAGATTTCTTCACATTTTTTTCCTACATATTTTCATACAATAATAATTTGTCTATCAAGTGGAAAGAAAAAAAAAACGCGTTGAAATTAGAACAAATCGTACTGCGTTCATAGTGTCTAGAAGAGGGGGTGTAGAATTGCTTGTCGTTATGATTGCTACAAAGGACTTAAATATTAAAAACTGTTGGTGGTATTTGTTTCAGAAAGTTTTCTTTTATAAGTACTAGTATTTCCTTTCTAATGCTTTAGTATACAAACATGAGGTTTTTTTTATAAATTTTTGTTTTCTTGTCATTATTGTGAGTTGTATAAAGAAACACTCTGTTCAGTTTATAAGAAGTCATTCTGTCAGTGATTTTTTTTTCTTCTGAATATTAGAGGATATTTAATGTAATGAATTAGAAAGCAAGCGGAAATAAACATTAGTGAAGGATGTAGAGGCGTAGAATGTTTGATGTACTTGGGGGCGACTTTAAATTTTATATAAACTTTAACTTTTTTAGAATGATGGATTTTGTACGGCGTATAAAATGTAATGTTATTTTCCGAAAGCCGTAGGTATGAACCCGTATTAGTCTGAATGAAAGCTAGAACTGACTTTTTTGCGGTAAACAGCCTTGCATCAATCAAGACTCTTAACTCCTATATTATCAGGTCGAAATGTCTTCTCAACTATATACGATCATTGGCAGAACTCACACAACATCACGTCGAGTTGATATGGGTCCCAGGACATAAGGGCATTCGGGGAAATGAAATATCTGATGAATGCGCAACTAAAGGGTCGTCTCTACGTAACTCATGCACAAAGGAATATTCACACTCACTTGTTGACCTTATCGAAGTGATAGACAAATGGGCAATGTGTGAAACGGAACTCAGGTGGTCGAATACATAAACTTTAACTTATTTAGAATGATGGATTTTGTACAGCGTTTAAAGTGTAAAGTTATTTTCCGAAAACCGTAGGTATGAACCCGTATTAGTCTGAATGAAAGCTAGAACTGACTTTTTTTGCAGTAAACTATATATCGGACGTGAATCTCTGTCCAGACTGGACACACAGTACTAAAGCAGTAATTACACCAATTTGGACAATCAGAATCTCACAAATAGAGGGCATGTGGTGAGCATAGTGAAACATTAGAACACTTCCTCAAACATTGCCAAGCCTCGGTCGAAACTAGATATCGGATATAACATCCCTTAAAAACATTGATAAGAACATTAAAGAAATTACGTCCAGGAGACTAAGTTTCTGAATAGAACAATAATAATTGCACTTTAAAGGTGATACAGTCGTCAAGAAATTTCCATACAATAGACCCTCCTGTCTATTGATCAGAAAATGAGCCTAGAAAACCGATTATTTGTACAAATGTCTCTTGCTTACATCTAATATACTGTATCACTCACATTAGGGTGCCTAACTTTAGGCTTTATGTTCTAATAATGAATGGAGATCAGTGATCAATCCAGAATTAGTTCCATAAGATTTCTGATTACATTTTTCACGATCGATTTACGTTAAAACTTTTTGAAATTCGAATTTTTAAAGAGCATTCAAATAAAACTAAAATTTAGGCAATACTGTTTGCCCTTTTGGCTAAAGATCAGTTGACAACTAATGCCATAAGAAAGATCCTTAGATAAGGTTCACAATCGATTCCGATTATGGTTGGAAATCAGTTTAAGACGATAATGTTCTTCAATCTTTTAATTTGTTCAATTGAGGAGAATGTTATAAGAACTTCACCAAAATCCTAATCATTGTATGTTATTCAGGATAAAACCTTTATTATCTTAGTAAACATGGGATAATTATGGGATCATTTATTGAACCTTTCGGGAGAGTATTTGGTTGTAGAATAAAACCTCAGTGTTTATTCTTTTTGATTGCCTACGAGAAATAAGAGTTCTGAATTACGCTCAGATTCTTATCATCAGATATAAGAAGTTCGGCAGCAATTACGTTGTATCTTATACCCCAAATTGTATTAGAGATGCACAATATTTTTGTAGTGTACTTTGGAAAATAAAAGACACTATCGGTTTAAATGAAAGCGAGTCGATCCCAAGCTAAACCCCAGTCAATATTATCTTTTGATTATGGAGAACTTATGATAACTATGCGATCATTTATTAAACATTGTGGGAGATTACTTGGTTGTAGAATGAGACTTCATTTTATTCTTTTGGAATGCCTACGACAATGGTTCACAGAAGATGTATAAACTCTGTGATGAAATATGATTCAATGAAAACTTAAAATTTTATGAGCGATTTAGGATCAGATTTAGTTCAAGGAGCTCAAAGCTTCTTTCTAATCTAGCATCAAGTTTCTATATCAAATATAGAAAAAATAGTACTTTTACTTTTAACATGAGAGAAATAAACTTCAGAAGTATATAATCAGAACTAACAGATTCCTCAGTTACGTCCCTGTGGATTACAAAAATCCAGTAAAAATATAATATATTTTTAGCCAAAACAGCAACTTATTTAAAAAAAACATCCCATCTTATTCCACGAGCCTGATTTCACCAACAACTTAAAGATAATTTAATAAATTAAGTGGGTGGTGGTAGTTGTTGGTATGAGCAAGTTTGATCCGGGGAAAAAATGTATAAATAAAATCAAATTCAAGTTGTTTAACATGTCTACGCAACATAAAAATTACAAATTTCTTAAGAATAGATTTAATTTATTCATCTTATATAGACATCTAATGCCACCAAAAAAATAATAAGAAAAAAAACATTCATATTCATAATTCATTTGTTGGAAAATTATATTATTAACATAATTTATGCATAAATGTCAGTTTAAATTAAACGAAACTAAAGTAGAGCCCTGTATAATAAATTCATAAAAATTGTTTTAACAAATTTCAATACTTACTTTGTTTTGTTTATAAATTTTTCAACGTTGCAAAAATTTTAAAGTTGTTGAGTTTAGATTGGTTGTTGTTTATTTACACTATTGTCCTTAAAATAACGGTTATTATTTTGTTTGAAATTATTAAGAAATAGTTGATGATTGTTGGTTGGTTGGTTGTTTGCAGCAGTAGTTTTCGGTGTTATTCCTAATACAATTAGTTTATAGGTTGTAGTTTTCTGATGTCCTGGTTAGGGATTTTGGCAAAATATGATTCCTTTTTTTTCTATGATACAATTCTTTTAAAAAAATATATCAAATAATATAAAATTTAATTAAATTATATTTTATATTATTTAATTTGATAACTATAGATCTTTTGGCGTCCAATAAATATGTTTATATGTATAATCTTGTTCTGAAATCCTTATTGCAGGATTAAAACTTTCTCTCTTATATTTTTAGTTTTTAAAGATTTCTCTGTAAATTTTGCCTTTAAACTATAATTGTATCTGTGTGTTTCTTTGCCGTTTTTTATGTGTTTCTATTGTAAGGAATAATAGTCGACCCGATGATATCAATGGACCCATGAGGGCGGTGTCACCACATTCTGTTGGGAATATTGTACTCTGGCGTTGAGGTTGGCTGTCGGTGCTTGTGTTGACAATTCTAAGCCAGTTGTCATTGTTGTTGTATTATTATTGTTGTTAAGCATTGATGGCAATTGTTGATGATGTTGTTGTTGCTGTTGTTGTTGTTGCTGCTGCTGTTGTTGTTGTAATTGTGCCTGCAATTGATTAAGTTGTTGTTGTTGTGTATTTAAGGCTGATGCAGCCGTAGTTGTTGTACTACCAGCAACCATTAGTCCTGTATTACAAACACTATTATTCACTGTACTACTGTTCACAGCTGTCAAGGGTATATTGATGTCTAGCAGACCATCAATACTAATTTCTTGTTGCATTAACTGGAGAAGAGAAAGACAAAGTAAAATATATGTTTAAAACTTTTTAAAAGGTAGATATTTTTCAAATGGATCTTTGGCCTAATTGAAGCACACGATATCTCAATAAAGTTGGAGTTAAATTTGAAATTACATTCAATATTGAATATTGTAATCCCAAGAATCTTTTTAAAACTAAGTGCCAAAACTGAGTCCATTCGACTCTACTTGATGGTTTGTTCATAGTGAATCTTCACTATAACTCATTCCAATAAATATTTAACCCACGACCAAAGTCTATTTATACCCTACACCACTATAGTGGGGAGGGTATTATATGTTTGTGCTGATGTTTGTAACGCATACAAATATTGGTCCTACATCCATCTTAAAGTATACCGATCGACTTAGTATCACTTCTGAGTCGATTAAACGTTCTGCGCAAGCTACAGACCACAATTTTCAAGATATTTTGATAAAATTTGGAACATACGAGTTTTTCGGCACAAGGACGATGCCTATTGAAAATGGTCCATTATTGCACCTATCCCCCATACAACCTGACCTTCCGATTTTTGGTTTTAAACTCATAACTACGTCAAATATACTACTATCTCACCAAAAATTTGCACAACTAAGTGTTATATAGGCATAAATTACCATGCATAATGATCGGCCGTCGTTTGATCCCTAGCCCCCATACAAATCCCCTTTAAAAAATATCTTAAACGTTCAAAAATTTACTAGTACCGCGATGAAATTCTGCATAACTAACCTTTATATAAAAATACATCCCTCTTCCCTATTTGTTGAGGATCGGCCCATATTTGACCCTAACTCCCATATAAAGCCTCTTTTAGAAAATTTTTAAATTATACCTATGGTGTAGGGTATCATGTCCGACATATCCTACTAGTTTTCCAATGGATTGACCCGCACCGAATCCGAATCTGGCTTTAAATTTCTGCATCGAATCAGTTTTTTTGAGATATCGTGTTCTATAGATTGAAAAAACTACGTTTTAGACATATTTGAGAAATTTAGAACAGCGCGAAGATTTATTAAAACTGTAATATCATCTGAAAGTCTTATCTGTTGACTTTGAAATAACTTCTGTTAAATCTTCTTCTTTTTCTATTTAGGATATCTCAAAACATGATGTGATGGGGAACTTCTGAGATTCGAATCAAGCGTAGCTCTTTGGTTTTTAGATTTTCAAGTTTTTCCCAAGTTTTATTGACCTATGTAATCAATCAGCGTCATAAGAACAAACTCTCTTAATGGACATTACTGACATACTCCGTATAAATAAAACGTCAATACTGAAGCCACAAATATGGTCCGAATTTAGAATACACTTTTTTCATTTCCTTTTTCTGGAAAATTAATACGTCCGGGAACTCCCAAACCACTAATTTCGAGAAAATACCTCAAATGAAAATTAGATTTATACGATATTAACTGAAAGTTCAGATATTGATTCTATGTCCATCTTCTTACCTCTTCAATATTGCACTCTAAACCACCTTGAAAACTTTCAATATTAAATTCGTCAATTGGTGCCTGCTCATTATTCAATGCACCCAAATATTGTCCTATTAAAGTTGATGCGCAATTATTATCTGAAAAAATAAATAAATAAATAAACAATAATTAATATGCAACATTTCAAGGGATTTACTAAATATAAGACGAGATTATGTGTGGCAGCGAGTGTTGATAATAAACCAGCCGAAAGATAAAGATAATGACAACGATATTAAAAATTCAAATAAAATAACAACAGGTTAAAATCAAAACACACATCACATCCTTGTAGACAATAAAGGATTCGACAGGAAAATAGGAAAAAAAGGTGTTGTAGCAAAATGATGATTGTTGTTGACAATTATTTTTTTCTCAAATTGTTACTGCTTACCTTCTAAATTTGAGCTAAGTTGTTGTGTCTGTTGTTGTTGTTGTTGTTGCTGCAACTGTTGCTGCTGCTGTTGTTGTTGCTGTTGTACCATTAAGACATTAGAACCACTATTATCGGACGTTACCCCTGATTGGCCATCAATGACAACATTTGTGTAGGTATTTAAGGAATCCGATGAAGGTTCACTATTTTGATAGGCGGGTGACATTGTATTTACTGAATTTGGTGAGAGACCCTTGAAAGATTTATAAAGCAAATTGAAAATATTAAGAAATACAAACAAAAACAACAAAAATAATTTCAACTTACCTCACGTGTTGAATGCAAACAGGTGCAGGTTAATGAACGGTGCAACATACACTGTTGAGTTGGTAAGTTGCTGTAGCCCTGTGAGAGGGGTCCATTAAGCGTGTAGGTTTGTTGTTGTGTATTGGTAGGATATGGTGGTGGTGGTTGAGTGGGCATGCCCGTGCCTGCACTAAATCTGTGCCAACCGTATGATCGTTTGGTTTCAAAGATAGTAAAAAAACAACAAACAAAACTAGACTTTATTTATCTGAGCTACAATTTAGTCTCACAGTTATTTCATTTATAAACATAGAAACTATTAAATTTTATTTAAAAACTACCAACATTTATTTAACATGCCACTAAATATACAGCTACATGCTTTTAATGTTAAAATTATAGAATAAAAAATAAAAATTATTTTTATTTTTTTTTTTTTTTTTCAAATAAAAAAATAAATTTTAAATTAAATTAAAAATGTTAAACAAAGACAAAAAAACATAAAATTAAAACTGACCCTTGTTGCTGTTGTTGTTGCTGCTGCTGCTGTTGTTGTTGTTGCATTAGATCCTTTTGTAGTGTCAATTCTTCAGCCATTGAACCAGCCAATTTATCCATGGTGGCAGCTGGTGCTGAGTTTTGATAATCAGAAGGAAAGCCCCATTCAAATTCCAAACCAACAACATTTTGTCTTGGACTTAAACGTCCACAGGAACTAGCATTCGATGAAGCACGTTGACGAAAGTCCGGCGATATGGGAAAACCACTGTGATTTTTGTTTTGTAATGTTTGGTTTTTTAATGAAATAATTCATTGTTTTTTTTTAAGAAAAATTAAAATAAAAAGAATAATGTTTAAAATTAAAATGAAAAAAATTAAATAAAAATAAATAAATTCGATTTGCAATAAACTTAAAAATTATTTATTAGTTGAATAATTGCTGCTAGTGGTAATTTTGAATAAAAAAATATGTTATTAGTAACATGCTAAAAAGGTTTTAAAATTTTAAGCTAAATTCTAGAATTTTTATTTATTTATAGAAAATTTGATAAAATAAAATTTAAAATATTTGTACAGTTATGCGGAAAATTGTCTATAAGGAAGGTTTCAGAAATTCACTCCCCACACATAGGGGAAAAGAAATAAACACGCCTGGTACCAAATTGACACCAACTGTTTATAATTTTTTAATAACATCCGTTGTCAAAGTATATACATACGAACGACAACACTATGTAATGTTGACAACATTGCAACAATTCGTTGTCGAAATCTAAATTTTATACACATCCGTTGTCTTAATGTTAACAAACGTGGTAAGCTCACTATTGACAAACAAACCGTTGCCAATAGCCAGTTTAACACGTTTGTTAACATTTAGACAACGGATGTGTATAAAATTTAGATTTCCACAACGAATTGTTGCAATGTTGACAGCGTTGCAACATAGTGTAGTCGTACGTATGTATATACTTTGACAACGGATGTTATTGAAAAATTATAAACTCTTTGGTGTCAATTTGGTACCAGGCGTGTACATTTCTTTTTCCCTCTGTGCAGCTGCTTTCGATCGGACTGTATCGTGCTAGGTCGTTTTGGGATCTAATAAGAACTCAAATATATAATCTTTAGCGGAACTATAAAGTTTCGATGTTTTAAAATTGAACTTACTTTTTACTACTTTCGATTGACATTGATCTTGACCCTTTCTTATTTGAATCGAAAAAAAGTAATAAAAACCCACTATATTTTAATACCTTTAATTTATAATTTATAATTTTTCAAAGTTTCATTGGATGTACCGAAAGTGGCTCATACAACTCTATTGAACTATGAGTTCACTGATCACTTAAAATCTAATGTTAACGATTTACAGAGTCCAGATTACAGATTATGGAGAGAAGTGTCTACATTTGACGTGAACAGAAGTTCGAAAAAAATTGGTAGATCCTACCACATTATTGGTTTTTAAAATGATCGGTCTGCATTTGATGTGAACAGAAGCCCTAGATGTAAACCAAAGATTTCGGAAAAAGCCCGACACAGTATCAGATCTTCCATACACTTAGATCTCTTGTGAACTCCTTTAAATAAAAACTGTTGGTGAATAAACCTTACAGAGTGATCAGGGATTCAGAACTGACGCCCTTAGATTCTAATCAGATTTCATCAGGCTAAAGGTCATAAGTATATCGTTTTTAAAAATTAAAAGGATCGTGAATTCATATACTAGGGAGATATAAAACAAATTTAAGAGTCATATAAATAATAAAGATTCTTAAGACAAGCATTTTTCTAATATTTAACCTCAATTATAACTTTATATCGAACAGTTTAAGAATCACTGACTTAAATTTTTTATATAAAAATTTAAAATAATAAAAAATACTCTATTTTTAAAGAAAGCAAGAAAATTAAAGCTATTTTTTTAAAGAGCAGTCAAAATTTTGAATAAATTTTTCAAGCAAGTGATAAATATTTTGCATTTAAAATATTACTACTACTAAACTACTATTTGCAACTATTTTTTTAATTATGTATTAATTTTTCATTACTAAGGTGATTATTAATTAGCAAAAAATAATAGAAAACTAAAAACTATAATTTTATTAAAGCAAATCACTACTTTATTAAAGCTAAAAAAAATATGAAATATACTTTAGCATTAAATAGTTACCTATGCAAAGGACTTTCAGGAAAATGATCCAGACCCTCACTTATACTACTGCTAGGCGAGGGGGTATTATCATTGAGACCCGTTACACCAGCTTGACGCAAAGCTTCAACACGTTTTTTGGCACGCCCCCGACGTTTCTCATAACGTGACGTTTCCATTGAGGCAGCACGTCTACGCACTGATTTACCCTGTTTAGCATCAGGATTCAACATCCACCAGGATGATTTGCCAGTGCCCTCATTTTGAACACGCATAAAACGATTATGTAAAGAGAGATTATGTCTAATTGAGTTCTGAAAAGAAAGAGAGAGAAGAAAACAAAAATTTTATAACAACATAATTTACAAATTTCTTTTGATTTTATTAGTTTAATTTCTTTTTTTCGATAGCTAAACTGTTACCCATCCCTCTTAACTCTTGAATTGACTTTTGTCTTTCTTTATAATTTATGTTTAAATTGTAAAATCGATAACGATAAAATCAAACACAAATCACTTGTCGCGTTTGCAATTATTATGCTTGACAATGCCAATTTTTTGATTTCATTTTTGCAAAATTTGCACAACCCAATCCAAAAAATTTAACCCCCTTACGAAAGTATTTGTATGTATTTCTGCCATTTCCCCATATAAGATCAATGTTGATGTAACAATTTGTAAGCACTGGCATGAATAGAATTCAATAAAGTGTGTTGTATACCACAGAAGACGAAGAAACATTATAACTTATAGTTAGTTATGAAAAATCCAAAAAAAAAGAAAAAAAAAAATATTATAATAAAGATATAGAACACAAGACTTCCTCCCTGAAATTATACTCATACAACTTAAATGCCATTCAATTGTCTGACGACAGTTTTATAGTCTTTTCTTTACTCATTTTACATTCTGCGAATAAAAAGAAAAGAAGCTGAAAAGAAAAACTCTAGGAAAAACCATACTAATTGGATGTTGGCTTGTGTTTTAAACAACCTAAGACGCTACATCAGCATCAACCTTCATTTAACGTTTTCTATCTTAAAGATATATATTTTACTGCTCTCCTCACTCACTGCCACCAAGTATTTACGAATATATACAGTCATGGAAAAGCATCATCACTTAAACTGTCAATTCATATTTTATAACACGCAGTCATAAATATGTTGCAAAAAGTAACATTTCAACATTGCCAGTAGTTGGAGTTGATATTCACTCATTCTCCTAAGAATTAGATAGACGGACGAACGAACCGACAGAGGTTGGTTGGTTGGTATCAATGGAAAATCTATAAAAAAAAAACTGTAACAGTCATAAAAATAAACGGATACAGAAGGTTTTGTTGAGAGTGTGTGTGTTTGTATGTGATAATGTGAATATGTGTTTGAAAACCACCTTACATTAGCGTTTTTTCCCACACACATACACACATACATACGTTTTCATACGAGAGGACTGACAAAATGTCTATAAATTGAACAAAGTTTACGAGTAGTAAAATGATTTCATGGATTTTTAACAACAAATGTGGTCGGGCTTGTAGGTTGTTAGATCATAATCTGAAAATAGCTTCAGTTATAGACTGATCTTCACGATTCTATAATTTGGTTATAGTCTAGTCTATAGTCTATAGTCTAGTCTATAGTCTAGTATATAGTCTAGTATATAGTCTAGTATATAGTCTAGTCTATAGTCTAGTCTACAGTCTAGTCTATAGTCTAGTCTACAGTCTAGTCTATAGTCTAGTCTATAGATAGTCTAGTCTATAGTCTAGTCTATAGTCTAGTCTATAGTCTAGTCTATAGTCTAGTCTATAGTCTAGTCTATAGTCTAGTCTATAGTCTAGTCTATAGTCTAGTCTATAGTCTAGTCTATAGTCTAGTCTATAGTCTAGTCTATAGTCTAGTCTATAGTCTAGTCTATAGTCTAGTCTATAGTCTAGTCTATAGTCTAGTCTATAGTCTAGTCTATAGTCTAGTCTATAGTCTAGTCTATAGTCTAGTCTATAGTCTAGTCTATAGTCTAGTCTATAGTCTAGTCTATAGTCTAGTCTATAGTCTAGTCTATAGTCTAGTCTATAGTCTAGTCTATAGTCTAGTCTATAGTCTAGTCTATAGTCTAGTCTATAGTCTAGTCTATAGTCTAGTCTATAGTCTAGTCTATAGTCTAGTCTATAGTCTAGTCTATAGTCTAGTCTATAGTCTAGTCTATAGTCTAGTCTATAGTCTAGTCTATAGTCTAGTCTATAGTCTAGTCTATAGTCTAGTCTTAGTCTAGTCTATAGTCTACTCTATTAGTTAGTCGATCTAGTCTAGTCTATAGTCTAGTCTATAGTCTAGTCTATAGTCTAGTCCTATAGTCTAGTCTATCGTCTAGTCTATAGTCACTCTATAGTCTAGTCTATAGTCTAGTCTATAGTCTAGTCCTATAGTCTAGTCTATAGTCTAGTCTATAGTCTAGTCTATAGTCCTAGTCTATAGTCTAGTCTATAGTCTAGTCTATAGTCTAGTCTATAGTCTAGTCTATAGTCTAGTCTTATAGTCTAGTCTATAGTCTAGTCTATAGTCTAGTTCTATAGTCTAGTCTATAGTCTAGTCTATAGTCTAGTCTATAGTCTAGTCTATAGTCTAGTCTATAGTCTAGTCTATAGTCTAGTCTATAGTCTAGTCTATAGTCTAGTCTATAGTCTAGTCTGTAGTCTAGTCTATAGTCTAGTCTGTAGTCTAGTCTATAGTCTAGTCCATAGTCTAGTCTAGTCTATAGTCTAGTCCATAGTCTAGTCAGTCTATAGTCTAGTCTATAGTCTAGTCTAGTCTATAGTCTAGTCTATAGTCTAGTCTATAGTATACGTCTATAGTCTAGTCTATAGTATAGTCTATAGTCTAGTCTCAGTTAATCCACATAAGAAACTCATCACTATCTTAAATTCTCTAGACTTCGATTTATAATTGATCTAAGGCTCTCTTCTGAATATGATCCTGATGTTCATCGATATTGACCTAAAATATATGAGAAAATAATGTTAGAAAACCGAAGGGATAGATCTGTGATGATCACTGTGTTGTTCAATGATTACATAAACGTATAGACGGACATCATTAAGATTGATTATGAATCCGCCGTATCAACGATCAATCTTTCTGATAGTTTAAGTTATTAGCACAATCATTTTTTAATTGACTAGGGTCAATTTTGGACCGATCTTTATTAATTTAATAGAGTTTAGAAGCCAATTATGATGACATTAAATTAATTTCGGAAAGGATATTTATTTGAATCCTAGGTGAAATCACGAATCGATTAAAATGTGGCCTGATCTGAGGACTTAGATCTAAAAACGCTATAACACTTAAGTACTATATTGGTACTAATTGTTATCAGAATTTCCATCTGGGCTTAGTTAAGAACTCCTAAAACAAATGTTGTTAGTACCTCTGTACAAATATTTACAATATGAAATAAAAAGTGGCAATAAAAAAATATAACTCGAAATAGATACAACAACCGTGTGGAAAACCCAATGAAAAGTAAATTTCAACAAAAATTTTCTTTAACATAAATATACATACATACATACATTTCCAAATATAAACGAATTTCCCAAATAAAAACCTTAAAACGCTGATGACGTTTTTTTTTTTTTGTTCCTTTGCCACTACATCTCCTAGTGATTACGCCTTATTGGCGCCATTTATCAACGTGTGTTTTAACCCCACAACTAGTTACTACTTACATACTTACTACTTTTCCTAAACCTAGTTAAAATAAAAATATTAGTTCGAAAAAAAGGATTCTCTTGTAACCCTGTGCATATAAAGTGAGGGTGTTGTTGCTTCCTTCGAAAAAAAGAAATAAAATCATAACTTTACTTTTAGTTGCTTTAATGCCATTTGCGGGGGTAAGCTATAGAGCATTTTAGTTAAAAAGAGTTGGACGCTGTGAAAAAAAGAAAAGTTTTTCTTCTGGCGTCACTTTTGCGAGACACAGACATCACTTAGTACTTTTGTTACATTATCCTGTAAACCTTTACTTTATTCTTTTACTTTTGCCTGTAGTTGACTGGTTTTAGTTTTTTTCCCCCCAAAGGTTATTAAAGGATGTTATGAGCATATTTATTTAAATATAAAATAAGTTTTTAGTCTCATATGGGTGAATGTAATAAGTAAAATTTAAATAAAATAAAATCAATAACTAGTTTTTATTAGGTCTATAAAAATGTTTAAGGTTATTCTTTAAAACATATGTTTATAGTTTTTTTTATTTTCTTCCTGGGACTTTAAGGATAATGCTGTGGAAGAGTTAATTTAAGTGTTATATTCAAATTAAACAAGTTTTTAAAATATATTTTTTTCGATAAACTGAGGAGTTTTTTTGAAGTCATCCGGAACTGTCTCGGTAACTCGGAAGAAAACGGGTAAAAACTTTATTTTGGTACTTTTTTGAACCTCTTTTTTAAACTTTCAGATTTTTAAAAAAATTATAATGCGGTTTAAGTCTCAGGTTGTCAATAAACATCAGGGTGATATTACTCGACAAATTTACTGAAGAGGACCTTATATGAGAGGTTTATATGTTTACATCGAATATCACTTCCCGACATAAAATTCGGTAGGATTACGTTCCTAAAAAAGTTTCTTAGGTTTTGGATCCTAAGAAACTTACTTATGTCAAATTTCATCTCTATACTCGTACTTTTACGCCAGTAATGAGCATAAAGTAATTATCTGAAGGGGACCTTATATGAGGGGTATGGTCAATAATGGACCGATCCACATAAAATTTGGTAGAGAGGATTTTGCTCATAAGAGACTTATGTCAAATTTCATTGCTATACTCGTATTTTTAAGCCAGTAATATGAGCGTTATTACCGTTTTTTGAAACGTACCTTATATGGTGGGTAAATTATGGACCGATCCCCATAAAATTTGATAGAGAAATTTTGGCTCTCATGGAACTTATGTGTGTCGAATTTTATCGCTATATACGTATTTTTAAAACAATAATTAGAGTTAAAGTCATTTTCTGAAGGGGACCTTATACGGGATATAGGGTCATTTATGGACGATCCTCTATGTTAAACTTATTAATGTCGAATTTCATCGCTATACTTGTACTTTTAAAACAGATATGCCCGTTAAATGTGTTTTTCGGGGGTCCACTTGTATAGGGGCTATGCGATAACGTGGACCGATATTGCCAATTTTCAATACCAAACAAACCTTATGTATAGAAAATATTTGTGGAAAATTTCAACCCTCTAGATCATTCTGTTCGGACTCTATCGTGCTTTCTAAAGACAGACAGACGGTCGGAC